TTCTTCTTCTTCTTCTTCTTCTTCTTCTTCTTCTTCTTCTTCTTCTTCTTCTTCTTCTTCTTCTTCTTCTTCTTCTTCTCCTCTTCCTCCTCCTCCTCTTCCTCCTCCTCCTCCTCCTCCTCCTCCTCTTCTTCTTCCATCTTTTTTTCTTTTTCTCTCTTTTGGTAAAAGATTCTTCCATCCCTATAATCCACACCTGCTCTCATAACGCCTATAGTCAGGTCTTTCTTGTCAGCATCATACCCGAGAGAAATTCCATCTGTCTTTCCTTCCCACCACTTCCTCATTGGCATGTTGAATCTAACAGCAGCCCCAGTAACTGCAAACTCAGTATCTATGTTTATAGATCACCGCAGCCTGAGAATAGCATCTAATGTTGGCCAGGGTGTGTCATGGGTTAAGGGTTCTCCATTTACACAAGGACTTATTCCAATTCCTTTTGGGGGGCTAATAAAACTATCAGTAACGAAGCATGAATGTGTTCCCGTGGCACCCAACTGAGATGGATAATTTGGAAAAGAAAACCTGCTATTGATGGAAGTAGTTATTTCATCAATAACTCCATCACAAATGTCAAAGCGTATCTCCAGTCAGAAAATCTTCAACAAAACTGAGCTCCAAGCTTCAAGCATGTACGCATGCTTTTTTTCTCACACTATCTTCAAAAAAAAAATGCTGTCTTAAAGTTTAGAGGTGTGTGTGTGTGTGTGTGTGTGTGTGTGTGGTGTGTTAGGGATCAGGTCACAAAAGCTATGCACTCAGACATGTGCTTTAGCATTGAGCTACGCCCCTATCCATCAAATTATAGGTGAGAATTTACCCTAATTTGCTCTATTATAATTTATGTAAAGGTACTGATAATGCTGGGGTTGTTAACTCGGTAATAGAGCACTTCCTGACATACGTGAGCATGGATTCAGTGTCCAAGGCCATAAGAACAAACGAAACACGCTTGCTGATTGATAACCTGCCTTGTTTTATGTCGCCGTCCCCAAACGTTTCACAAAGCATGTTAGAGGGTAGAAATAAATTAGCCCTTGCTAGTCTTTGAGTTGAAATTCTTTATAATTTTTTTCCCCTAGAAGACAGCCCCAACTTTGTGATTAAAGAATATTTACCCGAGCCAGGTGGCGGTGGCACACGCTTTTAATCTCAGCACTCGGGAGGTAGACCAGAGAGAGTTCCAGGATAGCCAGGGTTACACAGAGAAACCCCGTCTTGAAAAACCAAAACAAACAAACCAACGAAGAAGTGATTAAACTACAAAGTGTGGTTATAACGCCTATCTTTCTTCACAACAGAGATAGGAGGGGGTGTTGACTTCATGGTTAGAGCAATCATACTCCGTTATAATTC